CTCCCTCCATTCCCTGAGGCATTGAAAAACACAAGGAAACTGAAGAATGATCGGGACATCTACGAGACCTTCGCCGATTCTGAGGTAAACATCCCACTCTTCAAACTAATCAAAAGTGTTCCCCGTTATGCAAAGTTCTTAAAGGAACTATGCACAATGAAAAAGAAAAATAAACTGGAAGGGAAACAAAAAGTTGAGGTTAGTGAACGTGTCTCGGCCATTTTTCAAAAGAAACTTCCAAAAAAATGTAGCGACCCGGGCATGTTCACCATTCCTTGCAAAATAGGGGACACCAATTTTTCTAAGGCCTTGTTGGATTTAGGAGCATCAATAAATGTCATTCCTTATTCCTTGTATAAATCCTTACAACTCGGCCCACTACATCAAACTGGTGTAGTGATTCAACTAGCAGATCGGTCTAATACTTACCCGAAGGGTGTAGTAGAAGATGTGCTAGTAGAAGTAGAAAATTTGATTTTCCCTGTTGATTTTTATGTTCTGGAAATGGGAGATGATAACCAAACAACGCCCATTCTTTTGGGAAGACCCTTCTTGAAAACCGCTAAAACAAAAATTGACGTGTCTAGTGGTTCATTAACAATAGAATTTGATGATCAAAAAGTAGAATTCAACATCTTTGATTCTACCGAAAAACAAATTAAAGATCAATCTCTTTGTTCTTTAAATGTTTTTGAACCACCACCAACACTAAATATTTTTGTTGGAGAGGAAACAAAAAAATTCTCAATTTTTAATGAAATAAAAATTGAGCCAAAAAAATCTGTTTTGAAAGGAGAACTTAAAAAGTCACCTCAGCACGAGTTAAAACCATCGACACTTGAGGTGGTGACAAAGAAGAAAATTCGGCCTTACTGGAAACGGCCGAGGAAGAAAAATGAAACGAGGGATGCTCACGATCCCACTTAAAACAGAAAAATAAAATAAAAATAACGTCGTGCCGCGACATTAAATAAAGCGCTTCTTGGGAGGCAACCCAAGCAAGGTATGTTTTCTATATCATTTTTTTGATTTAAAGAAGGGTGTGTGAGTAAAAAAAAAAAAAAAAAAAAAAAAGAAAAAAAAAATGTTTTTTTTTTCATTCCTGGGCAAAAACCCGGCCGGGTAAACTATAAAACCCGACCGGGGTAAACGGGCAAAACTGCCTCTGCTTAAGCAGAAACGAAAAACCCATTCGGGTAAAACCAATACCCGGCCGGGTATACGGGCATTTTAACACCAAATCAGCCCCAAACCTTCATCTTCTTCCCCAAATGTTGAGAGCTCATTCCTAAAACCTCCATTGTTGAGTCTCCAAGCTTCGAATCCGCCCCTTTTCTTCCTTTAAAAACCAAAATTAACACCATAATCTTCTTCCCCACATCACCCTCTCCAATTCTACACCAAACACAACCATCAAATCCCCTCAACCCCAAAATCCGAAAACCCTACCCAAACTCTCCAAGGTCCGATTTTTGCTCAAATTAATCCAAAGAAAACCCAATTTCATGTTCTTTCCATCATTCTCTATATCTCCACACCCTCAAAAACACCCAAAACCGAAAAATCCGAAATTTTTTTTAAAACCCTCCAAGCCAAGTCCGAAATTCCTAAACTAAGTTCAAGCAAAAGGGCAACTATGGCACCAAAGAGAACTAGAGCATCTTCCTCCAACTCAAGTGCTCCAATTCCGCAAGTTCCCGGGTATGAAGGCATCGAATTCACCTCTAGGGCTCATCACAAGAAATTTCTCACCCAACTCATCCGAGAGGTACATTCAACCCGATTCCTTTGTCATGAAACATTGAGAGCATTGATGTTGTATGATATGATGCTAGAATTGTGCAACAACATAGGACTTACTACATTGTTCAATTTATCATATAATATCCACAAAAGAATTATGTATGAATTCCTAGCATCGGTTGAATTTACTGAAAACATGGAGGACACCTATGAGAGCACACTCACGTTTCGGTACAACAACATACCAAGAACTTTAACAAAACGTGAGTTTGCCGAACTATTTGGTTTACCGGTTTTAGGTGTGGAGGAAAGAAAGGCAAGAAATGATAAAACAATTGTGCATGACTTATGGCGAAGAATGACAGGGGTTAGGGTCTTTAAATCCTCACATATGCATATTACACATGTTCAACACCCTGCCCTTCGAATTGCACTAAAATGGTTTGGGTATAATGTCTTTGGGAAGCCAAATAATCATCAAACAAGGATTAGTGAATTGGCCGTTCTTGCTATGGGTATCTTCCCAGAAGCGCCTAGATTGGATGTTGCTTCATGTTTATGGGAACATCTAAAAAACCAATGTGAAACTATGGGGGACGTCTACATAGGAGGGTACATACACCATATTTGTACCAAATTTGGCTATCAGGCGAATAGAGAAGTAGGAACATGGCATTTCCTTAATCTTGACTTTCTACTCACTGCACATGATTTGAGTCACTCCCACACTATTGGTACCACAACATTTTACCATTGGACCATATACCCCTCACCCACACACGTTTTTACAATCCCCTCCGACGAACTCCCCAACATTTTTAACCATCAACTCGGGGATGGGAGACACCTTTGCTTACCCGGAACCACCCCTGACCACTATCTTGATGAAATCCCTCAACTTGAGCCCCCACCCATCCCCAACCCACCACAAGACCAACCCCAAGCCGAACCCCAACATCCTCAATACAGTCCTTTTGAGCAACAGATGCTCCAAAGCATGAATTCCCTGAATCTCAATTACACCCAATTTCGGGAGGAATTTGGACTGTTTCACACTGAGCACAGACAGAGTATAGAGCGATTGGAGGCACAACTACAAAACCAGCGGCAGCAATACGACGACGACCGCAGGAGGTATGAAGAGGATCAAAGGAGAACCTACGGCCCTATATACTCCTACATTGCACATCAAGGTTCCTTTTCTTCTATGGCCACTCCTCCCCCACCACCCTCTTGGTATGACCCCACAGCATGGGGTACTTTTGGTGGTTCGACCTCAGGCGGTGGAGGCGGTGGAGGCGGTGAAGGCGGTGATGGCGGCTATGGAGGCTACTTTGACGGAGGAGATGCGGGCGGGCACTAGGGACAGTGCCATGAACTAGCTGGGGGGGAGAACTATTCCGGTATGCTCCCATTTCATGCTCTTCATTCTTATTTTCTTTAAAAAAAACAAAAAAAAAAAAAATTATAAGCTTGTTAGGTTGAAAACCCAAAAGGGCAACTTAAGCAAAACAAAAGCAAAAAGAAGAGTGAGTTGGTGAGAATAAAAAGGAAAATGTGGGAAGCTGGGATGAAAACCCGAAAGGGCACCTAGGCAAAATGAGAGAATGAGAGAAAGTATTTTCTTTTATCTTTGCAGGATCCTAAGGGCATATACATGAGGAAGCAAAAGAAGGGAAAACCAATGGTGTTGAAAACCCTTTTATGTGTTTTGATCATTGAAACATTTTTATGTTGACTTTCAAAAACACTTGTGAATGGTTGTGATTGCTACTATTGTTGGTTTGTAAACTTCATGGACAGGATTTGTTTTACTCGAGACGAGTAAAAGTTCAAGTGCGGGGGTGTTTGATAGGCACTAGTTATTAGTGCCTAAGTGTACATTTTTATTATCATTTGTAATATTTATTCACTAGTATTATGCAAGTTTGTAGTTGTTAGTTTTCATTTGATTGTAATCGTATTTTTAGTACTTTATTGTTTGTTGTAAGTTATAGTTAGTTGAGCTATAAGTTTAGGATAGGTTTGGAAGCACGAAGGATGGAAAAACTTGAGTTTTATGCAAAACCCGGTCGGGTATGGACTTTACCCGGACGGGTATGAAGTGACAAAGGAAATTGCTGCAAAACTAGCAAATACCCGGTCGGGTATTCCATATACCCGGTCGGGTATGAAGTGATTTCGGACCAAAGATCGTGCAGAAGACACAAAAACATGGGAAAATATTTGATTTGGTAAATACCCGGTCGGGTATGTCAAAATACCCGGCCGGGTATCCGGCATTAGGTGTTGAAAACACCTATAAATAACCCCATTTTCCTTCACTTTTAAACACTCCTTCTTCCATACTCTTAAGCTCAGTTTAGAATAGTATTTCTTTTATATTTTTATAGCATGTTTAGTCTCCAAATGAGGAGCTAAACTTCCATTTCTTGGTGTTGCTCTTGAAGCTTGTTGATTATTAAAGTTGTGAGTTATTTTCTTAACTTCTTCCCTTGAATATTAATTATTCTCTTAATCTATCTATATATTAATGTTGGGGAGTGTTGCTAAGATGACAATTAGTTAACATCTCGACATTAGTTATAGTAGTATTTATTTTCTTCCTCTATATATTAATGTTGGGGAGTGTTACTAAGATGACAATTAGATAACATCTTGACATTAGTTATAGTAGGATTATTCATATTTAATCTTCTTCCTTGAATATTAATTTTTCCCTTGATCTATCTCTATGTTAATGTTGGGGAGTGTTGCTAAGATGACAATTAGTTAACATCTCAACATTAATTACTACTAGAAACGTTCAACGAACCGATGGTTAATCGTTGATGGTTTCACAAGTAAGTAACTTCGGTTTATTAATGCACGGTCGTGGTTAATAAACTTAAGAGGGATTAATTTTGTTGGTTAAACCGAAACCGTTGTGTTGAGGTTATCAATCTCAATTGATTTCATCAAGGAGTTAAGAGATTAAATGCTACTATCAAGTCGGTATATGGCGGTGTTCTATACTTGACTAATAGTAAGGGTTATTAATGAACGGTCGTTGTTAATAACTACCCTCGATGAATTGGATATACTCCTCGATTGAGTATTCGAGAGGGGATAAGTTATAGATATAACAATGATCGACTAAAATATATCAACAAGTGGAAAGTAGCAATGCCAAGTCCTTTTTATCTTTGAATTAAATCTCATATAAGTCCTTCATCTTAGTATTTAATTAATTAAATTCCAACAATACCAAAACCCCCCTTTTATTTACTAGTTCATAAAAAGAGAATTATTCCTTTCCCTGTGGATACGAACTCTACTTCACTATACTACGTATAAGTGTTAGTATTGAATTTATTTTGAGTGCACTCACGACAAAGTGCACGTCAGAAGACAACCTTGAGGTCGTCCTTGATTTCAAGAAGGATGGATTCGGAGACCTGAGGTGGATGGTGAGGTCTGCTAGCTCATAGCGGTAGTGGCATAGTATGGTAGCTGCAATCATTTTGATGACGGTTAATGACATCTCCCTGCCAATGCAAGCCCTGGGGCCGGCGCCAAAGGCCTGGAACTTGTAGGAAGGTTGGTGGAGGATTCTGTCATGGCCAGCGGGTGAAATCCACCTCTCGGGCTTGAACTCCATGCAGTCTTCTCCCCACACGGAAACCATCCTCCCCGTGGAATAGTAAGGCATTATGATTTTGGTGTTGGGTGTGACGATGTGCCCGCTGGGAAGAACGTCTCTTTCTATAGGCATCTTATGATTCATAGGTACGGTTGGAAACAATCTGAGGGATTCACACACAGCCGCATGGAGGTAGGTTAATTTTTGACATTCTTCTGCCTTGAATATAGTAATCTCCTCTTGCTCCTTATAACTATCGTCGCCGCCAGCTGATGGTTTCCCAACTTGCTGCTGGTCGTTTGGCTTTTGATGGCGATAGATCTCATCCAAAATCTTTGCTTCAACCGATGGGTTTTTGGAAAGTAGCCAAAATAACCAAGTCAGTGTTGATCCTGCCCCGCCCGCCACCAAATCAAAAGTTAATTATTTGATTAAATAGTCTCACACACATATTTTCTAAAAGGAAGAAGTAGCAAATTAGCCATTGAACTAACTTAGCCATCAAGTCTAGTTTACCCATACCAAATTTCAGCTAACAATATATATAATTCCATCGGGAAGACAGTCAAATGATTTTTTGAAGTTAACTGTGCACTTTATATACATATAAAATGCAGTTAACTTCCAAAAATTATTTGACTGCCTTCCCGATGACATTTTTAGCTGAAAATTGGTATGGGTAAACTAGACTTGATGAAGAACATGCTCAAAACATTTCATCAAACAATTCCACCGGGAAGGGGCCCAAACGCCGAGGTCCGTACGGAGGTCCGTTTTTGGAGGTCCTGACATGAACTTTCCTCTTTCTCTCTCTCTCTCTCTCTCTCTCTATATATATATATATATATATATACATACATACATACATACATACATACATACATACATACATACATACATACATACATACATACATACATACATACATACATACATACATACATACATACATACATACATACATACATACATACATACATACATACATACATACATACATACATACATACATACATACATACATACATACATACATACATACATACATACATACATACATACATACATACATACATACATACATACATACATACATACATACATACATACATACATACATACATACATACATACATACATACATACATACATACATACATACATACATACATACATACATACATACATACATACATACATACATACATACATACATACATACATACATACATACATACATACATACATACATACATACATACTTACATACTTACTTACATACATACATACATACATACATACATACATACATACATACATACATACATACATACATACATACATACATACATACATACATACATACATACATACATACATACATACATACATACATACATACATACATACATACATACATACAGGGGTTAGTTCCTATGAGAACACCCTCTTAGGAGAGTAAAAAAGAACAAAATCCTACCTTTAATTATTTCAATCTGATGGTAAAAAAAAAAATCTAAATTGGAGACGTCTATCCATAATTTCCGGAAGGGATTTGGCTCCTAAAAAGGCAACGTGCAACAATGTATTAATTCAGGGGCATAAAGGTGAACCACATGTAAGTGGTTACCACGCACAAGCCACTATAATAGGAAGTAATCCTAACAATTAGGAGAGTAATTAATACGGAGTAATCTCCCTCATAATTAGCACCATTTGTTTTAATAAATAGTTTATTTTATTTTATTTTCTTTCCAAATTTAAGGTCCTCTCATGTGTGACTTTTCTTTTCAAATGCAAGATTTGTCAATTGCAATTTAAAGCTGAATCGTTGCACTCAAGTAATTTAACAAATGCACTTCTACTTCAATTATCATGCACTTGATAATCTTTAACTTTTATGTATGAGATCTTAAAAACATGCCCCTTTGAATTCACAAATCCTCACTTGTGTGTGTATCTTGTATTTCGTATTATTTTAATATTTTTGTGTTTGCACTCTTGCTGATCTGATTTTGCATATTTTTAGTTTTTGATGTAAATTTAAATAATTATTAATCATATTTGAAGAGATATGCTTTCACCAAGTTATATGCACTCAAGCAATTTATCAAATGCACTTTTATTCAATTATCACACACTTTAAAATATTTTAATTGCACTTATAGTATTTGAATCTTTATGTGTTTGCACTTATACTGAAAACATTATGCACTTTTCAAACATTTGAAATACAAAATGCTGAGTGCAGGCCCGGCCCGGCCCAGGTGCAATTGACGCATCTGCACCGGGCCTCCAATTTTTAATAACATAGTTCTATACCTAAGCCCAACAATTTTTTTTGTCAAATAACTTTAGTCAGCGGCCCAACTCGGTGTACGTTTGTGAAGTGCGTCTTGCTTGGGCCAATCCGGATTGGGCCTAGAAAAGAGTAAAAATCCGATTACAAGTTGGGAAAAAGCGGAATCTAGGAGTCAATCCTTGGTTCTCGATGTAAAATGGAGAAGCTTCTACCATTGAACCAAGTAAGGCTTTTGGTTTTCTCGTCTCTTTAAGAGTACTTATACCTTTTTTAATAATTTTTTTGAGTTAAACTAATTTTGCTAGTTCTTGCTCTCTAATTACCAATCAAAATAAAAATGATAACAAATATTATATTTACTACGGAGTATTATAATTACAAATACTAATATACTCCGTATATAAGTACAAATTTTTTAAGTACAAATGTTAAGCTTCGTTATTGACTTCGTTGCTTTTCAAGACCGTTGTTCATGTTTGAAATACTTTCCATATACGTTCTTTTAACCTCTTTATTGATCCGTATCACAAGTTTCCTTTTCGAATTGTTTCCCAATATATGGAGAACGTTGGGAACACTCAATGGATTTGCTTTAGTAGCAATTGAGAGTGATCTTAGTAAGAAAGTTACATATCAATGCATTATTGAAGATTTTATTTCAAATTTTATAGAAAGAAAGCATTGTTTAAATAAGTGTAGTTTAAGTTCAAAATTTTGAATGAAGTTTTGATACTCTTGGTGTTTACTTCATCAAGTAGAATTGCATTTTATAAAAATTCAATTTTTATTGAATTATTGGCATTATTGTTTTAAATTAAATATTAGGGCCTCTAATTTTATTTTGAACAGGGCCTTCAATTTTTCCGGGCCGGGCCTGGCTGAGTGTCTGAGTTGCACTATTACATTGACAAAATTTCATCAATCACTTTTGATCCTCTACGGTACACTTTTGCACATTGCAAGTTCACTTTTTGTAAACTATAAAAACTTTGATTTATTTACGACAATGTCACTGCAATTTTCATCCACTTTAATGCATTTTTGACATATTTAGAGCAGTTAGATCCTAAATCCGGCGCTCCATATTTAATCCCATTTTTTATAATGGGAATGACTATATATATTGATAAGACATAATTAGAATGGTAAAGGAATAATATTCATGATGCCAACTATGCATATGCAAAATAAACATATTAAAAGTGCATAACTAAATTGGTTGCAAGCATACAATACGTTGAATATAGAGATAAATAGCTAAAATAAGTGCATAAAATACATTGAAAATGTGATCGTAACAAATTAAAATTTTAATATGTGAATATATGAATTAATTAGAAGAATAGCAATATAGGAAAGTAAAAGTAACCTAATACGTATGAAAGGGAGTAACAAACTAAAAAGGAAAGAAGAATATACGTACACACTTAAATGGATTAGGATGTATTAAATGCAATAATGGAGACATGAAAATATCTCATTTACCCTTAATGACAATTAATGTCACGATCAAAGTAGAAGTTAATCCAATGGCTCACATAGTACATCTATTCTTGTTTACTATCCTAAGATTAAGTTCTCACATGAACCTATATATATATATATATATATATATATATATATATATATATATACTAGCGTGCCTTTTGGGAGGTCTCGAGTTCAAAACCCGCTAGACACATGCATAAGGGTTCGAAACTCAATGGAGTGAGTTTGAGCTTTGATTACTCCGGGGCCCCCCAGCCCCCTCTCCCAGACCCCCTGGAGTAAAAAAAACATGAACAAGAAAATAACAAAAAGATAAAAAACAAATAGGACCGTTCGAGTCAGGCACGCCTGACAGGGAGGGCCGTGTGGACTTGCCCGTTTGAGTATCTTCCCGGTGGATTTTTTTGATGCAATTTTTTGAGCATGTTCCCCATCAAGTCTAGTTTATTCATACCAAATTTCAGCTCAAAATTCGATCAGGAAGACAGTTAAATAAATTTGGCAAACATACTGCGTTTTGTACATATACAAAGCGCAGTATATCTCAAGAATTTATTTGACTGCCTACCCGATTGAACTTTGAGATGAAGTTTTGTATGAGTAAGCTATACTTGATGAGGAACATGATCAAAATATTTCAAGTAAGGGAGGCCTAAAATGATCATTTTAGGCCTCTCTCATTTTTGGTTAAAGATCAATTCAATCATCCCAATATTTTTTTTGTTACATTTCACTACAACAAAATATAACTTTTGTAGCATACGCAAAATGTTGCAATAGGTGTCAAAAATGTCGCAATATATCAAATGCAGCATTTTTAGCATGCTGCATCCGACTCGATCGTGTTACAATAGATGTATTCTAACATTTTTTCCCATCTTGTTGTATCATTTTTTGGTACAATAATGTTACAATGGATAATATATTGTAGCAATTTCTATGATGCTACAAAATAGATGCCACAATAAACACTTTTTGTGCTAATTCTTCTAAACCTATTATAGTATATGCTCATGTTAATGTCAATATCCTTGATTAGGATAGAACTCGAATTTATATGCTTATTCATATCAAGTACGTAGTATTCCGTATGAATTTCAACATTTAGATCGTGTTAAAAATTAAAATTTACTCAAGAAAAATATATTCTTAGTAACGAGTTAATCTTACCCCTAATCTTAATTGTTGGATTAGTATTCAATGTGAAAAAGTGAGTATCGGGTGTCTGTTTTTTTATAAATTTAAATCTAATGATTAAAATCAATATGTAACACCTATGTTGCACGGATACAGATACGCCGATACGCGGATACGCGGATACGGGTACGGCGATACGGCACTTTCAAAAATTATAGGATACGGGTACGGGGGTATATTTATAAATAATAAAAATATAGGGTATAATTTGCAAATATATATAATTCAGGGGTTCATAAATAAAATAATAATAATAGTACAAAAAATTAACTATTATAATAAAGTTTCAAAGATTAGTCTAAAAAACTAAAGTATTGATATTTTGATTTAAATTCAAATATTTTTTTGTTCTCTATTTGCATTTACATCCAAGTCTTGTTTCAATTAAATATCATCAAGCAATGAAATGTCAAATTATAGTATTCCATTATTTTTCATACTCCCGAAACCATCTTTATCAATGTTCCACATGTTGTGGTCGCTTGGTTGGCTACTAAATTTTCGTCATGTCGTGTATAAAATGAGGGGTTATAGGTTCAGATACGCGTATCGGTTCACGGATACGGGTATCGGAAGTATCGGTATTTTTAAAATTAAGCCCGATACTTTTATTAAATTACGGATACGGACCCAATACGTACAGGACGGGTATCGGTGAGTATCGGATACGGATACGCGGATACGGCATCGAAGTGAAGTATCGGTGCAACATAGTGTAACACTGATGAGCATAAAAATTGGACTACTGAACTCATTAAATTGCTAATCAAAAATGAAAGAGACATAAAGTTGTTCTATCACGTGTGCTTTACTTATCATTCTTGTGTATACTTCGTATATTCTATAGTAAGGCTGCTTGCAACCCACTGGGTGAATAGCCAAATGTGATCTTTTCAACCCCAAATATGCTACAATCCATGTATTATGAGGTGCTAAAGTGATTATATCAACCTTCTCTAGTGGGAATTCCCAGCCTTATTCACGGAGAGAGAGCAAGGTAAGCAAGGACCTGCTATAAGCAGAAATGTGGGGCCAAATATATTAAAATACCCAAATTTCTTTAATGTTTTATAACTTTTTTTATTTGTAAACTATTTTTTTAAAAAACTATATTAAAATTCATAATTTTTTATTATCTTTCATATGACACCAATATAACATATGTACAGTTGTAAAAAAAAAAAAAGTTTTATCAGCTAGAGACTTTTTAGATTTAAAATTTTTGTAAAGTTGATCTAAATGCCAAAACTAAAATCTCATGATTGGAATAATTTTTTTTTATATCTTTCAGTTATTTATTTCAAAACTAGTTCTGAATTAGTGACAAAAAAATTAAACTCCAAATTTATATATTTCTACATTGGAATGTATGACTTTTAAAAGCATAACTATTCACAAAAAACATAAACAAAGAGTTAATGTATAGTAATAAAACAAAGGTTTTAATTAAGAAAAATAATTGAAGAGTGAATATATTGACGGTGTTGGATTGCAGAGAAAAATAAATTGACTGGATGAATACGTATAAAGTGAGGGGAAATCAGATTTATTGACTCATAAGGGTTGCGGGTAGCCTAAAGGCCCATTTCATATAAACAGTACCTAAACAATGTAATTCATGCCATTTCCTTAATATGTACGTAGTATCATCCAAGTTAAAATGAGAACTTTAAATTGGGCTGAGGCGAGGGAGTATATAGTATATAAAAAAACCTCAATATTACTAAAACGTGTTACTTTTTCTAAAATATGACTCAAACTGTTTTAGTTCCCATCATATGACCTCACATACATGGCTATATAGTTAAATAACCTCTTCCCCTAATAAATCTCACAAAAATGCACCACATACGGATAATATCCTAAGGGAAAAAACCGAATGACTCATAGTTCATTATTAGTTTGGGAAACATGTTAGTGTTTTAGTAATATCCCTGATAATTTTCTCTATGTATATATACCTGTAGTATCTGAGCCAGCAATAACCAAACTGAGGAAGGTGTCTCTAAGAAATTTGGGACTCATTCCTTGGTGTGCATAGATGTGCGAAAGTAAGATGCTGAAATCAGTACTGGATCGGTCATTGTTTATTCTGTGGGAAAGGATTGGGTTTATGAAGTGGTCAAAAGTCTGCCAAGCACGACTCAGCTTCTCCTCTCTATCGACCCCAACCACCCATTTCTGCAGCTTCCAACACAACTCCGGGAGAATATGCCTATATATACAGAATAGCGTGGATCCCTTCCCGGAGCGCAGTGAGAAATGGGTGGTCTTCCTCACCGACGCCAAGGCTGCAAGGGTCCTTGTCCAGAAACTGGATGCAGGAGATGTCAAAGACCACCCGCCGGAAAACGTGCTTCAACCCGAAGGCGTCCCGCTTCTGCACGTGATGCTCGAGAAGCGGGAGGAGCCCGTGTCGGATCTTATCCGACACGGTTTTCTCCAAGAGGGCGCGGAACCCGGGATGGTTCATGAGGGGAGTCGTGGTCTTCTTGTGAAGATCCCATACCTCGTGGTCGGTGTTGATCATCCCGGCCCCGAGAACGTCGAAGATTCTCTGGAAATGGGGGCCCTATGGGTAGTTCTTGAAGTTCCGGCAGAGGATGTGGCTGATGTTTGCTGGGTCACAGGTGAGGAACAAGTTGAGGTTAGTAAAGCCCCAAGGCCCTTTCACCTCAAATGTGCCGCCGTTGTGTTTTAGAATCTCCGCCACGTAGTCGTGGATGCGGCCCGCATTTTGTAATATCCCCGGCAGCATTCCGACCACCGGCCAGTTTGTCCGGTTCACATTATTCCGACAACCGGCCTTCTTCCATATCATCACCAGCTTCCTCCCAACATAACCCAAACCGAATACCGCCGCCGCCGCCGTACTAATCATCATCACCATTCCCATGCCCACGCGACAGCTTTACTTATTTGCTACTCCGTATTATGATCAGTACTCCCTCCGTAACTTAAAAATTTTCTCACTTTCCTTTGTCGTCCGTAATAAAAAAATCTTTCAATTTCTAAATCTTCCCATCATACTCTCAATAATTCTAAAAATGATACACTACTACAACTACTTTTTTTTGGATTTATCCTACATTCCATCACATTATTCCACTATATTCTCATTACACCCTCAATAATTCATATCCTCTTTCACTATTCTTAATATACCTACTTTTGAAATGGGAAGGTTTTTAAGTTACGGAGGGAGTAGTAGAACACAAGCAGAACATACGACCACTCCGTAGTTGATAATTGAGGAAAACAAATTTAGATTTGTGATTATAATCTAATTTAGTCCAATTTACATCGTCCCATCGTGTCGTCCGGTCGGGATGTCGTCCTTTTTTGTGTAAGTTTGTCGGTAATTCACATGGGAAAGGGCACAACTTGCATGGGCCATTCAAGTATATTTCATACGATAGTACTAGTACTATATTTGACAAGACAACGAGGTACACATGACAAAAAAATGCAACATTTCCCTTTTCTTTTCATGTGTTAATCACAACTTTGATGATAATTATATTTAATTCTCTATAAGTAAAAAATTAAAAAATCACATTATGAAACTTTGTAATGAGAACAATTCAACGATATTTTTCAAAAGAAATAATTCATGTACATTAATAAATACTCCTTCCATCCCACTGATAATGAGACAAGAGGGAGTGACACGCAAACTAATAAAAAGTGGTTTATGTGGTTGATATTAGGGGTGACAAAAACCAAATCGAAACCCGGAAAACGACCCTGGACCGACCCGAATTATGATCCTAGTCTGAGTTTTTTCTTTTTAACCGGCCTGAATTAAAAAACACCCCGACCGAACCCGAAATTCCGGACTCATTAACGGGCCTTAAAATCTATAACCCGGCCCGGACTGATAAAAACCCGAAAAAATTAGCTTTAATATAAAATTAATATATATATATATATACTAGTATATGTACCCGTGCATCGCACGGAAAAATATGTTGTAATGTTTGTTATGAAAAAATATGAATGAAAATATATTTTAGAAAATAGAAGCGATACTAAATCACATGTCAACTCATAAACCGTGCAACTCAATGAGTTATATTGAGTCGTTAAGATTATTTTAGAAATCATAAAGATTATTGTTGAATTTATACTGAATTTTTGTGGATATAATCTAAACTTCATGCATAACATGTTCAAAATCTTCAACCGGAAACCGTCCCAAACAATGTCGGCCAGACAGAAGGCTTGTCCATCCGAAAGGACATAGTCATTACTTTAATACGAAGTATATATATGTTTGGCGGAAGGTGAATGCGTTTTTCTTGATCATTTGAAATGCTTATAAATGATATGATTATGTAACATGTGTTAGAAGCTCAAAAGGTTTGTTTTATGTATACATGCAATTTTAGAAGCTAAATAGGTTTTCCTTCTATCTTCTTTTAAATGCATATATAAATGTTGTGTATATTTATTATGGAGTGTACATGAGTTTAATAATGTTGTCTCATATATGATTTATTACGTAGCTTTTATTTAGGTATATGGATTAAAATTTAATATTGAGTTGCCACTTGGCAAATTTTAGCATGAAGAGCATTGCCACATGTAAAAAATTTCTCTAAAGCATTCCATCAAGGTTTGCTTTATTATATTATATAGATATATATAGGGAGCGGTTCCGGTAAGAACAGATCTTAGGAGAAAAATGAGAACGAATCTGGACCGTTGGATTGTATTATGTGGAACCAAATTGTGCATTTGGTGAAACTGAAATGTGCATTAAATGATATTGAAATGTGCAAAATAAAAATTTAAACTCAAGTGTGCATTAGATGACACTGATATTTGCGAAAAAAAGTACAAAAATAACATCACATCGTACTTTTTATTCTGCACATTTCAGCTTCACCTAGAGCACATTTCAATTTCACGTAATGCACAATTCAACTGCACATAATGCCACTCTATCGTACCATTTGTGATGCACATTTCAATTTCACCTAATGCACATTACAGTTTCATCTAATGCACACTGAATTTCACTTGAAGCAAATCTAACGGTCCAGAATCGTTCTCATTTTTCTCATAAGATCGTGTTCTTATTTGAACCAAAACCTATATATATATATATGTATATATATATATATATGAATATAAAGTTATAAATATTTCCTAATATATGATCATAATCACGGCGGATAAAAAAATGATTTAATAACTTTTAGTGACTACAAATATGTTGAATTTGTTTAGCGTAATGACCATGAATATATATATATATATATATATATATATATATATATATATATATATATATATATATATATATATATAGACAAATCTTAATGTCAGGCCAGCCTGACGGGATGCTCCGTCCGGCCGAGCCTGTTTGGACACCTTTCCGGTAGAATTTTTTGATGAAATGTTTTGAGCATGTTCCTCATCAAGTCTAGTTTGTCCATACCAAATTTCAGCTCAAAATTCGATCGAGAAGACATTCAAATCATTTTTTGAAGTTGACTGCAGTTTTATATGTATAAGTTCGAAAGGAGCAATTTTCTTTTCCTTTCTTTTCTACATATATGATCTGATATGAATGTTTAAATGGTTGAGTTGGTTCAGCAAGCGTCCAATATGCAAAAGTTCCAGTTTTACAATCTATGTTAAGGATTCCCTGTAACCTCCTCCTCCCTCTCATCCGCAATGTGGAAGCCTTCAATTTTGTGCGTGACCTCTTCTGCAGAGTCCTTTGGTTTTCCATTTGTCATTGTGATTATATATATATATATATATATATATATATATATATATATATATATATATATATATATATATATATATATAGGGTGCGGTTCCGTGAGAATGAAGCTCCAGGAGAGAAATAAGAACAAATAATCACCGTTGAGATTCTTGATCTAAAGGCCGGATTTGATTATTCAGTCAATGGTTAAATCCGAGAATCAAGGACATTGATTGAACGGATTAAATTAATTTGGAGTGATTTGTTAGACTAAGGGCTTATATGTAATCTTGAAATGCATGTGTTGCTGTTACGATGAGGAAATATTAATCACTATTGCGTAAGTTTCCATTTTAAGATTCACCAAAATTATTTTACCCATTTTAATAAAAAAGTTGTCATCTTACTCACGTAAGTTTTTTTAACCTTTCAATAAATGATGCACTATTAATATAATGGCATGCATGCATCAAAACATTAATAAATGTGCAATTCATGTAGCTAACGGTGCTAGTGCACATTTTCCATCAAATAACTTTTTCCTAAGATATTCAAAATAATAACTTTAGTCTCTAACAAACATGATAATATAATACACAATCTTAAATTTTGACTAGATTCCCACACTTTATCCATGTAGTTGTGCACATTAGATATAAATATACAAGAATATAAACCATCAATTACCACATGCATTTTAAATATATAAAGAGTACGTACAAAAGTGCACAAGTATATACTTTCTAAAGCTTAAATTTAGCACTCTTTTATAAAATGATATGCACTTTTGTAATGTGCATTTTAAATTGTATAAAAGTGCATTATTATATCACACATTCTAAAATTTTACAGACACTTTTTACAAAATGAAATGAATTTTTCTTCTAATAACATCATTGTTGTTTCAACAAAAAGTATATAAAATAAAAATGAATGGAAAATCCATGAAAAAAAATACAACAAATGCATCAAAAGTTTGCATGAATGTAAAAAATAATATATCACAAGTGCACCATTCTTCATATGTAAAAAATGCACCATTAGACCTTTAAAAATGCACTTTTGTGAGTATACATTAGTCATATGTCAAAAGTGCACTTCCGTAGTATATGTTAAAAATGCACAATGACAATTTAAAAATGGACACATTAAAAAAAAATGAATTAATATTATACGTAAAAATAATATATCGATCAAGTGTATAATTAGAATTTTAAAATTGTATAAATTGTTTTAATAGAAAAATCGAAATAAAAATATACTGCTATCATAGTACTAAAACGAATTTAGATGATGAAGAATCAAAAGTGATTAAGAAAAAAATAAAGACCAACGGTAAAACAAAATTTTAATAAAGTTAATAAAGCCATCTAACATAACATATTCAAAAGTGTAATCAATGCTCAAATAAATAACCTCTCCTAAAATAGTCAGCATCCGAAATGGAAGCATAGTGGAATCTCAATTTTACCCAATCAAGATTAACGTGGCATTCAAAAAGCTCATAGTAATCTAATGGCTAACATCTATTCTTATTTCTCTCCTAAGATTATTTTCTCACTTGAACCTAAATATATATATATATATATATATATATATATATATATATATATATATATATATATATATATATATATATATATATATATATATTATATAGCAACTGTAGTCACATTTTTATCTATAAATTTTATTTGGTAATATTTTTAAGAAACCTGTATTATTTATTTATATGCATCTTAAATAAAATATTAAGATAATTATCTTCTTTGGATTTGAATTGTTGGTGATTTTGGAAACTAATATTTGTGTTAGTATGTGTGGTTTGTATTTTTGATTAATTTTATTTGAAAATAGGTGTTAATACACTACTACATTTTTTGGTTTTTCATACAAACAGTATTTGTAGGGACATATCAAATTTTGTAGGTAGAATCTTTTGGAGACAAAAAAAATTTGTGGCTATTTTTGTAGGGAAATCATCGAAGCGAAAGATATCACCCTACGAAATTCATAACTTTGTCTGCTAAAGTTTAGGCATACAAAACTTTTCTAGACAAATAAAATTTGTCTTCCAAGTACTTTTACCTCAACATTGTTTGTAGGCGCAAGATCTTTTTTCCAACAATAATTTGTTGTATGGAAAAAAATTTGTAGATAAAATATATTTTTCTCTACGAATATTTTTTGTAGAAAAAGCTATTCATCGAAACAATGTCCTTTTCGCTAGAAATAAATTCTTTTATGATGAGTGATTTGTAGTTTTGCCACAAATGATTTTCTAGGATAGTATTTTGTAGTGTAAAGATATTTGTCGCTGCAGAAGAATCACCCATTAGGACCAAGCTATAGTTTGCGCACAAAACAAAAAAATCATAAAATGATATAACACATACTTATACTAAAAATCATGGTTCCACATAAATGTGCATAACAAAGTTTAATAACTCCATATCAAACTAAAACCAGATCGTCGAGTACTAATACCATCCCAAAAAAATCAAATAAACTGAAACGAAAGTTAAATGTCAAATAAAAGAATAACACATGCCCTGGTTCATCTGGATGTCCTTTAAAAATAACTTAATAATATCATATGAATTTCTAACTAATCATCCAAGAGCGTATCAGCCTCATCTTCTTCTTCATCTTCAAGCGAAAAAGGGGTGAATGGCGGTATAACAACACCTACCTGCATTAAAGATTGATGCCAAGATTGTAAAGTGGAGTTGAACTTTTGCCCAACATTTTTCAAGGTACTTTGCATTCTCTGTTCAGTCTCTATTCGAGCCGCATCAGCAGCCTTTCGTGCCGCTCTTTCCACCTCCAACTCTTTTTCCAAAATTTGCACTTTTTTAGTTGTTGCCCCTGAATCTCGAAGACCACGAATCCGACGACCTGAATTGGTACCTAAAACTAAAGTCATTATTTCAAGTCCAATATCAGGATCATCAACAGGTATCTCCTCCAAAGGAGTGTCTTCAGGAAGATGATATTCTTTTGCCTTTTCCGCTAGATACTCATTAGTTTTGACAACCATTTTCTCCTATAAAAAATTACACAACACATATAAAGTTATTAGTAACTAGAGTATGAAGAATAATAAATGTACTTTAAAGCTAGTCTCTTACATGTTGTTCTTTTGTTGCCTCATTTATCCAACGCTTGTCTTTCCCAGCATAAGTTACCTCAAACGCAGCAACTTCTGGAAACTTTGAACCATCCTATTATTGATAGTTTTTACTAGTCAGTACAATTTGTTCAAGTCTGTGTGTTGCTTTAAAGTGGCAACACTAACTTGAATAATAGTAGAAATAGTTAAACTCAAAGCACTGGATCCATAATATTCCTATAAAAATTGTCGTAGAAAATACATAGAATCATATAGCATTTTCTGGGAACCAAAATACACCAAACAAGAGATTAAACACTTGAAGGATAGCACTGACACTACTAGCAATGCTAGATTAACAATATGCATTCATTTCTAATAATATGATCAATGATGGCAGATTCTATGATCTCTCCTCCAAGGTCACAATCACAACAACAATATCCTTGTTGAAATGACAACCATGCACAAAAGATGATCCTAAGTCCTAACAATAGAGCACAAAAGGACTGCTCATAAATGCATACCAAAATTCAATTTTAAAACTAAAACAAGATACACTTGCATCATCACATGCAATAAGCCAATAATCATATGCATGCAAACAACATCAAATTCATTTTCCCTGCAATAAGCCAATAATCATATGCATGTAAGCAACATCAAATTCATTTTCCCTTCCTAAGGTTAGGCTCAAGTTAAAAAAATCGCAGAATGACAGCAGCAGATTCTGCCCTTGGAATAAAAATAACAAGGATTTCAAAATTCGCAAAATGATAGAAGCAGATTCTGCCCTTGGAATAAAAATAACAACGATTTCAATAAAAAATACTCTATGAACAAAGGATTTAATTAATATACTCTTAACGAAATAAAAATAACAACTAGTGAAACTTGATTCTACATCATATAAAATCAAACATAAACCAATTATTACCTATGAACCAAACCTATTTCACTCCAGATTTCAATAGTGTTCATCATTATCATTTCTCACGTTTAATGAAAGATAGATTATGACCAGTCAAAAGAATACCAAACATATCGAATAAAAACTTTCTTTTAACATAATAGAAATTTTTTAATAACATACCGCAATCATATCCTCTACTATATATGAGAGAGGACGTGAACCAGTACGGTGGTTGTTCTTCTTATTTGAACGGTTAGTTGTGTTTGCAGATGACGCATTCTGAAACAAAGAGAAAAGAGATTTAATATAGTTAAATTAAAATAACTAAAAAACAACAAAGTAATTTTACTTACTTTGAACTTTTCTGAGTTAAAATGATTACACAACCATTCCCATTCAGTCTTATCTCTGTCAACCATCTCTGGAGGAGGCAAGGTCAGCGCTTTTGCATGCGTCTCACATGACTTGTAATATTTACTCAATTCAGCCTTGAACTCTCTATACCTTCCATTGTATAGTCCATTTATATACTCTTTTATATCAGGATCTTCAAAGTCGATCTTAAAGTTCGTCTGAAATTAACATATAATAATTTAACTAATTAACTAAACAAAAATAAAATTAAGAAATGATGAAAGCATAAAATTTTGAAATACCAAAGTAAAAACACAATATAGAGTACATATTTTTTCCTGAGGTAGCTAGCTCACCGTGATCTCATCCATAAGGTCAGCTCTATCATCGACAGGTATTTTCCCCCAAAAACCTGTATTCATTGGACAATGTGATCGAATGATAGCTCCAACATCATGAACAAGGAGGCTATGTATCTCAGCACTGGTTGCTCTTTTAGTAATTTTGTTGTATGCAACTTCAATTCTGTGTTTACTAAGACGAACCATACGAGATGTCTTAATCTGTTTGCAGGGTCCCCTACCGCGACTGTCATCTTCACTTCGTGAAAACTTCACAACATCTACACACATAAAAATGATGGTTAAGAGAGCTGTCCTTTTATAATAAATTGAAAATTATTCAACTACGAAAGCAATTGAGTGATACACCATTAAAGTGGTTAATATCAACCCTAAACTGAATTGTAAGCACCGATTTTCAATATTGGAAGAAGCATCAATCATTGGTTAAGACTTAAGGATAGTGAAAAAGATATGGAGAAATCTTACCTCTGAAACTGGCAGCTGAGATTCAAGACCAGACTTCGTAAAATGAAGAAGAACTTTTGAAGCGGAACATACAGGAAACTGGAAAACGGATCGATCCGAGGGTTGTTCCTGCGTTTTAGCTAGGGTTGGAGATAGTAATTTAGTACTTTGCGCGCTATAATTTTTGGGTAAAAAGAACCGCTGGAGTTTTTGGATCGAAAATTGAAAACAGTTTTGGGTAAAAAGAACCGCTGGATTTTTTGGATCGAAAATTGAAAACTTTGGTTTTCCGCTGGAATGCAAAGTATTGTGTATGTAGTACGGTTTTCCGCTGGAATGCAAATTAAAATGGCCTGCTAGCATTAATTTAAAATTTTAAAATCTAATCTAATTATTAAATTACCTCCTAATTTGTAGTGTGTATGTAGTACGTGTTGGCTGCGTGCGTAGTGCGTACGTTCGTACTCGATCTTCAATTTTTCACTTTTCATTTACATAAGTTAATATGTTCACTTTTCATAATTTCATTGAACATATAGAAAATATAAAAAACAATGTAATATTAGTAAAAATTCATATATATATAGTGAGCCCATTTGGTAAAACAAAAATTGGTTGTATCGGCTGACTCTGGAAAAATTTAAGAAGTTCTGGTTTACTCTGCTGATTTATAAAAAAATATTTAAAATATTCTAGTACTCCCTTCGTCCCTAATAACTTTGCTAAGTTTGACCAGCACGGGGATTAATAAAGTAAAATTGTGTGGTTGAGGTTTGTGCAGAGGACAGTGAATTAACTGGAACCACAAATTCTTTGCTTAAAAGGGAAAGTGGCAAAATTAATGGGACATCCAAAAAAGGAAAGTTGGCAAAGTTATAAGGGACGGAGGGAGTATTTTATTAATAAAATAAAGAAAAAAAATATGAAAATTGAAAAATATCTAAAATGGTTATCTACAATAACTTCAGTCAATTCAACCAGAAAATTAACTCGAATCTTACTTATTTTGATTATTACACAATTCAGTGCACGAAATAAAAAATTACGCTTTTGTTGAAAAAATTGCTGACAAGACTGATAAGTCAAAATACAAGGTCGCCTAACAGGAGGCTCAATATGTGTAGTTGTGTTTTATTAATTTTATGCTTATGAAATAATAACCTTCATGAAAATGCAATTGTAATGAAAAAGAACTTGTTTACCGTATATTGCTATTTTTCATATTCATACGGAATATTGGAATTAAATTCAAGCCAAGACAAACTCTACCAATAGTTGTCAAAATCAACCTTTTTCTACGTCTTAATTTTGTATGGAAAGCACTTTTGTTGGGAAAAAAAAAACTAACCCCACAAAACACGTAGTACTACGTAATTTGTTACAAAGGAAACTTTTGTTGACGCCATTAATTTGTATGAAAACAAATATCTGTAGTTAAATAACTTTCTCCACGAACAATGTATTTTGTCGTGACAAAATACATTAGACTACAAATTTAATTTGTATGCAAAGCACATTTGTAGGGAAAAGGATAGCACTACGAAATAATTTCTTGTCTGGAAAAGTAGCTTTTGTCGACATAAATAATTTGTATGGAAAAAATATATTTGTAGTCACAATACTCTCCCCACAAATGATTTATTTCGTCGCGCGAAAGCACTTTCGACTACAAATTTAATTTTGTATGCCCAAATTTTGTAGGCAAAGCATGATTTTGTAGTAGTGATAGAACAATGAGATATTTCATGTTCGGGCTTTAACCGGCCCAACCCGAACCCGGACTACATAAAACCCGACTCGGACCGAATATAATGGGTCCCTAATTTTCATAACCCGAAACCTTCCGGGTAATTTTTGGGTTTAGCAAAAACCCGACCCAGACCGGACCGATCCTACCCCTATTGATATTTAATTGATAAAATAAAAATAATTTAGAGCCACACAAACTTTATCAAATTTGGTATGAGAAAATCTTAATGAAACAGATTGAAAAAGTAAACTGAGACAATCGTATGACTAACTTATTTCAATCGAAAAGGAGTAAAATATAGTCAAAGTAGAATACAAAAATAGTGTACAAATTTTAATATTGCAACTAATATGAAAAGGAGTCCCATCAAAGTGGAGTGTGAAGACATATTGTGAAAAAGCCGAAAGCAATATAAACATGACTTGTGTGGTAGTTAGAACAATTACCCCAATCGTCCAAAGGGAGCCGATATTCGGATATCTTATACAATCTTATAGTCATCAATCAGGGCAATTTAGGTAAGAAAAAAATGTTGGTGTAATCATGTTGCATAATAGTGTTACACATTAGGCTTTATCTTTTGTACTCTATTAATATGCTTGTCTTTCCGTTTGATTTCCGTCTCTAAGAGTCACCTTAGGGGAGTAGTTACGTCGTTACCGCTCGTCCGCTCCCACTATATCGTCGGGTTGGCGGTAATTGCTTTTCTCCCTGCCTAATGAGTTGATGCCTATTGCTGATGCTTTTGGATTTATTTCGTCATTCATGTTCCAATTACGATCCCCTTCCATTCCCAATTTTAATAAGCTTGTAATTTATTTCCTACTTCGTCCTTTCAAGTTCTTCTGAGGCGACAACCCACCAGCACAGACTTTTCGCTTGTGGCGATTGTAAATCTGATGGTATGGAATTTTGTCAAACTTCAGCAATTCCTCACAGCCTTGGCACTGTAAGTAGCTTTCACTATCTCCTTGAGTCTAGCTGTAACCTCGTTTATCACTATAACCATCGTTTGCCATCTTAAAAAACATAGCCTGAGTGTTGTCATAATATTAAAATCAGCTAAAGCAGTGCAAGATCATTTTTGTCTGGTAGTCCTGTCAAGGTTCTTGAAGGCATTTCTTTTAAACTCTTTTACTCTCTTTTGTTTCTATTTACCAAACCTAGGCTTTCTTACCACAGTACTTCTTATCACTACCCATCTTACTTCTGAGGTTCTTACTCAATCAAAAGGACATGCGAATAGTTGTATTACTAAGATATATTACCTGAATTATATCAGCTCTGTTCTTACACTTATTAATCACTATTCAGGCACATTACCTTTTTGGATGTCAAATCTGCTCTTTTGGTATACGCCCATGAAGACAGAGATCCATCCACTATTAACATTCAAGCTAATGTTGTGATAAAATCAACGTCTGACTTCTGAGGTTCCAAATTCTGCATGCAATGCTCGATCTCACAATCAGTTGTTACTTTTTGTTAGGTTTTTTTAATTGTGTGTTGAAACAAATACCTCTACTATTTTGTTTTAAAAAAGAAGACACCTTTGGAAAACCCGTAAGTGCTCTCCTTTCCAAGTTAGAACTTAGAAGTGTTTGCAATTATGCCTTAAGGCAAATACTCACATCCAGGAGGTCTTTGTGTATTCTAAAACATGGAAAAAGATAGTTGCTTTCTAATGTGTGTTAGCACCAACACCAAAAAGACTTTGAAAGCTACATTCAAAAAAGTGTTTGAAAGAAAACATATAGTCTGGTAATCTTAAAAATTTCCTGAAATGCAGTTTAGGTTGATTAATGATGTATTTTGTGAAACTAGAAAGTAAATTTGAAATGCTTTAATAAGATAGAGTTACTCTCTTACTCTCTTTCAACTTTTATTGCACTCATACAATTAGTTTCTTATATTTTTATTTTTCTTTTCATATTCAGATCATTAATTTAACAAACCTTGTTTAAATATGCTAAATGGAGCTATCATCCTGGCATGTTTGTTCTCATGTGTGACATTTTTTTTATATTTCTATATTTTCTTTTCAAAGGTACAAAGAATTTGAATGTTTTGTCACTTAGACCTTTTCTTTTTTTGTTGAGTAGGTGATCTATATGTTTCAACTTTTATATGTTTGATTCTAAAAATAAATTTAAAACTTCATTAATTCACACCATTTACTCAGGATGTAAGCGTCTTGGAGATGACCACAACAAAATTGTTGGTTTGCTAACTCAAGTACACTTGAGCTCTTTTACTCTCTTATCTTATCCCGAGGATTTGTATATATGTGAATTTCATATTTAGATGTCCATATGAATCCATTCATAATTCAGAAAATACAATCATTGAAGAGGAACATTGACATGCAAATAATAATACTCTGTAATTATTACGTAGTAATATTTTTACATGGCAGAGGACTGAAAATCCCCGTGTCACCAGTTCTTGACTGTTTATATTTAATGAATTTACTCAACATTTTAATTCAGGTGTATGTCGATACTCTCCAAAATCTACCCAAAGCTAGATTCATGGACTTGTTTGACAGCAAATACATTCCTTCTGTAATTATTGGTGTTGGATTGATGGTGTTCCAACAAGCAATTGGGATCAATGACATTGGTTTCTACTCTAGCGAAACCTTTTCGGCAGCTGGACTTACCAATGGACACATTGGGACTATTGCCTATGCTATTGTGCAGGTACCTATTACTGTCATTGGGGCAATGTTGATGGATAGATCCGGAAGACGACCACTTATGGTGTCCTCAATAGGAACTTTCATTGGCTGCTTTCTAACAGTAGCTTCTCTCTATCTAAAGTATGTTCCTTGATTATGTTCCAGTACTAGCTATATCTGGTGTACTCTTTTTCAATTGGAATGGGAGCGGTTCTCTGGGTTCTAATGTCAGAGATATTCTCTATTCATGTAAAGGGTGCTGCTGGAAGTTTGGTTCTTCTGGTGAACTGGTTAGGTGCATGGGCAATCTCTTACACCTTCAACTCTATGATGGAATGGAGTCCCACTAGCACTTTCATGTTTTACTCCGTGGATTGCTTGCTTACAGTGCTGTTTGTGGCAAAAGTTGTGCCAGAAACCAAGGGAAAAACACCTGGAGGAAATCCAGGCAACCATCAGCTTCTGGCGTACAAGCTAACCCATAAATGAAGAGAACTATTATTAAACAGCACTTCTACAGCACTTGAGGCTAGCCGGTACCATGATCACGAGATGGATTCAAAGATTTGAAGAGCCAAAAGCAGTTCGCTCCGAACACGAAAGTGTTACAAAAGATGTTTGTATCAGGTAGCTAGAACAGTAGATCTATACCAATATTCTGCTATTATACGGTTTGGAGTATAATCAGCTTTGTAGCCAATTAGCAGTATGGTTTAATTTTTAAATAATTATTTGGTTCAAAAGAAATCAACTATCATCATTTACCATGTCTAATTCAAAAATGCCTAAATCATTCGACTTTGTAAAAGTTGTATACTTCATTTAACATACATCTTTCTTTTTTCTTCCTTTTTAAGGCTAAAAAATAATGTACCCTAGACATTATGCACACAAGTTATGTGTATCCTCTAATAGACTAATTTCATCATGTGTTATTTCTTTTCTTTTCCATTTAAACTACTTTAGTTTAGTAGCAAGTAAACTAATATCAGGTGCTCATATTTACATATGGAAATCATTATTTTTTTCTTTTCTATAATTTATTATAATTTATTGCATTTGCTCTTAAATTTAAGGGTCATGTGCTAAGTAATACTATCTTTGGTTCAAGTTTCCATGTAAGTTTGACCCAATGCTTATTTTCACATCTTTTTGTCATCGTCTATTTTTTCCGAGTTCCTACCAACAATAAATTTGATTTTCAATCCATTTTCAATTTAAGTATGACACTTTAAGTGCAAAAAACAAGTCTTTGCATAAGTTTTATGTTAAAGTGAGGTGGAAAAGTAACCACAAAATATGTTAAAATCTTGCTTGAGTGTGTGACAACTTTATGTTAAAAATAGTAACTATATTCAATGTCACCCTTGTTTATTCTACTCTAAAATGTTAATTATAATGTAAACTACGATACAACAACTACAATATGTCCCCAGAGCTTCTTAAGAAAGTCCAAACCATTCAAGGAGGTTCTTATCATGTAATGATTCATTCAATAAAATGTGATGAGTGCTTAACGCAATAAATTCTCACACTCTCTAAATGTTAATAAGACAATGCTCATAAAAAACATTTTCAAAAAAACTATAATATAAATATTCTTAAAAAAACAATATTGGGCATTTATCTAATCGCGCATCGCGCGTGTAAATAACTAGTAAATCCATAAACACCAAAAGAGATCATCTTAATGTAATAGTGAATGCTAAAGTTTAGGCTCTATTTGCAAGTGATTGTGCTTAAATAAAAGTACTTTTTGGGAAAAAGTGATTAGTAATAAAAGTTGGTAATGTTTGGTAAAATAAGTGCTTTTTGTGTAATAGAAAAAGTGAAAAGTAGATTCTACACGAAAACCGAGAAAGTAAAAGTTGGTATTGTTTGGTAAAATAAGTGCTTTTTTCTTTAAAAAAAAGCCAAAAAAACTTAAATTAATTGTTTGCAAACAAAGCCTTAGAAAACAAGATGCTCATCTCCCTATGTCTCTCATCATCTCTCCAATAATATATCTCTAAGAATGAATAAACAAGTACTCCCTCCGTCCCTCAAAACTTTGCCAAAATTGACTGGCACGTAGAATAATAAAGTAAAAACTGTGTGGTTTAGATTTGTACGGAGAAGAGACAATTAACATAAATCACAAATTCTTTGTTTAAAAAGGAAAGTGACAAAGTTAGTGGGACAACCGAAATTTGGCGCAGTTATCTTCCAAAAATCATTTGACTACCTTCCCGATTGAATTTGTAGCTGAAATTTGGTATGGATAAACTAGACTTGATGACGAACATGCACAAAAAATTGGAGCAAAAAATCTGGTGTTGTTATATTCTCCATTTATTCTGTTCGTTCTTCTTCTTTCACATCATTTTTTTTGAAACCTTCTTTCACATCATTTATTTATTTGATATTTGGGTTTGACATTTTCATACCAATTCCACTCGACATATTTAACATTAGATTATCTGAGAATGAAAAATAAAATGAAAAGTGAAAGAAATAAAATGAATAAAAGGAAAGGAAAGATTGAATCGAGTGGAAACAAAGGAAAGAGAACTAAATAATATTTGAAATTAATTGACTGCATTTTCATTATGACTGCCTGCGGTGGGTGAAGTTGGCTTGCAGCGGAGCTTGGTGAAGATGAGAGACGAACTCGCCTGCGAACATGGAGCCGACAAGCATCTAGGCGGCAACGGGGCTCGGAGCGACGCCGATAAGCACATATCCGACTGAAATGGCTGACTCCAGTAAGTGAAAGGTTAATTCTTGGGGGATTTGTTGCATAGGGAAGGCAAGAGATTGGTGGTTCATACAGTCCGGCGGTGAAGAGAGGAACAGGGAGGAGTTGACCGAAGAAAAAAGGCAAAGAAAATGTGATGCCAACAAAGGGCCGCGTAAGCAAGGAAACCGGGGAGAGACCCGCTAAAACGCCATTTTGATTGTTTTTTATAAGTTGATTGAAGGGGTTGATTGAATGATTATTTAGTACAAGAATTTAATTGACTTTTTCGTTAAAGTACGAGGACTTAATTGCAAATTGATTCTATTTGTTATGTTTGGTGATAACAATAACAAATTGCATTTATATTTTTTACATGATTCATTTGAATAAAATTGTAAATATTACGGAGTACAACATTTGAACCACTGATTTCTTTAGATTTTTTTTGAATATTTTATGTGATATTATAAATGTTAATCAAATGTAACATTTTATGTGATTTTATGTGATATTCTCATTTGTAATTAATAAAGTTACTAATGAGAAATTTCTTACTCGAAGCATCCTCGGTCATGTACTTAGATTCTAAGGACTCCCACATCGTTTTAGCATATTCAACATTTTGATACACATCAAACAGAGAATCACACATACCATTGAAAATGTGCCCACGGCAAATGTAGTCGTCATTGTCCCACTTTATGCGGTGCCAGCTTGTTTCCAAAGTCTCGTTTTCATCATTCTCGGGCGGCCTCAGAGTGCTTAACACATAAACCACTTTCAAAGTAGTGAGCAGAAAATGCATCTTTTTCTGCCTTCTTTGAAACTCCACACCTTCAAACTTTTCCAATTTTTGAAAATCGGCGTTGATGATATCGCGTTGAGTAGCAGTCATATTTTCGGAATAGTAAACTTTTAGATTGTTAGAACCGGAGGATAAAAATAGTGAAATATAAGGGTGTGAAATATGGCTGGACCAGATATCACTTCTAGTCACGTATAAAATACGCTTTCCTAAAAATTTACTATCTACCCTTATCACAGTAACTAGGTTACAAGATAGAACTTTTGGGATAAAAAGAAGGTGTATGGTGTATTTTAGTTACTGATAAAATAACACCGAACAAGTGATTTGTATATAAAGTGGTCTAAGTACTTCTATTTTATTATTGGAGATAATAAAATAAAGTATGGCAAAGTTAGACAAATTAATTTGCCGTTTATCACAAATTAGACATGGTCCTTTCTTATTTATATGTAAAAAGTGACACTTCCAAATGATCTTATTTCTAGTTTAACCGGATGCGACTCTTTAAATGGCCATTGAGCCTTTCAAAGTGAGAAACGGTGCATCATAAAAGGACATGTTCATCCTTTTAAAAACCTTTTAATTTACTCCCTCCGTCCCAAAATTAACTTCTCATTCACTATTCATTGGTCAACTTAAATCACTTCTAATCTTTTACTTTATATATCGAACTTTTATCAAATTCAAATTTTCTTGATTAGGCTTTGTAGCGGTTTTAATGTAGTTTCTGAATATGTAAATTTTATTTACTAAAAATAATCTGAGTGTGAACATGGATCGAGTTGCTTTATCGTCAGTCAAACATCGTAAACCGAACGGGAAGTTGTTTCAGGGACGGAGGTAGTAATACAAATTCTTGTCCTTATCCATAAAAACTGCCGCAAGAAAATTCTTTAAAATGCAAACTCTAATATTTAAAATCGGCACATATGACTAAACATAATAAAGTAATGTTATTATAATTATTATGTGACCACACGTGCACAAATGTGTTCTCATAATATATATACTCCCTCCGTCCCAGGGAGAAGTTCCCGGGTTGACTTTCACACATATTAAGGAAATAAAGTTATTGAGGGGTAAATTTTACTGTTTGGCACTATTTCGACACTGTTTGGCACTGTTTCGACACTGTTTGACACTGATTTGCACTGTTTGACACTGTTTTGATGTAGGATAACTTTCCATTTAGGGAAATGGGAACTTTTTGTTGGGACTACCAAAAAAGGAAAGTGGGAACTTCTCCCTGGGACGGAGGGAGTAATAATCATTATATTTGAATAACATCATTTTAATAAATCACACCAATTGTTTATAAAATGATTTAAGGACCATGTAAATTAACAATTGAGCTTTATTTTCAATAAATCTCCAATTGAGCTTTATTCTCATGCCGTTTAGGGCTTGGTCGTGTGGCGCTGCTACTGGTCGATGGTCAAATGGGAATTTCAGGGCTGAAATAGCCGTTTAGGGCTTGGTCTTTCCAATTTGGGCTGCAGGGGCTTGGTCCGGTTGGCCCTGGGTGATTTAATTTTTTTAAGAGGGGACATCAAACGACGTCGTACCCTCATAAAAGAAAAAACTCCAGCAGGCCGCAACATCTATCTTCTTCGTCCATCAAAACCTGAAAGAGATGAGTCGCAGGAAATTAAAACTCCTTAATTGGTCAGCCCCTCCTACTGCCCTACGCCCCTTCCCCATACTATACTCGGACCGCCGAAGCTGGGGCATCGGCCCCCTGGCAGATCTGTCCCTGAATACTATATATATTACTCCCTACGTCCTTTAAAACTTTGCCAACTTTCCTTTTTTGGATATCCCACTAACTTTGTCACTTTCCCTTTTAAGCAAATAATTTATGGTTCCAGTTAATTCTCTCTCCTCTGCACAAACCTCAACCACACATTTTTTTACTTTATTAATCTCCGTGCCGGTCAAACTTGGCAATGGCCCCTCTTAAGTAAATGGTAACTCTGCCCCTGAATATATACTTTCTATGGTCTTGAATACATGCAACATCTCACTTTTCACATTTGTCGATACACAATTTTGACCATTAATATATATATATAATTTTCTATTAGTAATAAAAAAAATCATATTTTGAAGGCAAACCTAATTCTTTTAAAGGGGAAAATACCTCAATATTACTAAAACTCAACATTTTTCCTAAAATATGACTATAAATGTTTTTGTATGTATTATATGACCAAACACATACATGGGGTGGTTACTATACTTAATTAACCCCTTATTCATGGAGACGTTACTACTCATGGAGCATGACATTGGGATGTTAGATTAGGAATAAAACTAATACATGGAGTCATAG